GATGAGCAGGAATTTCTGAAATCCAGGCTGAGCCGAGCGGTAATAGGCACCTTCGCGGCCGCCAGCGGAACCGCCTGGCCCTAAATCACCGCGGCGGCCCCTCCTCCCCGCGCCGGCCTCCTTCGGGGCCCCGGAGAAGCTGCGCTCGCGGGCAGGGGCGGGCTCCATCCTCCCGGCGCGCGCCCGCCGCCGCTGCAGGTGCCGCGGAAATAGCTGCCGCGCTGCCCGACTTTGAAGTGGGCCCGCGCCTGCCCCCACTCTGCGCCCCGCACCCGGCGCCCTCGTGGAGCCCCCACCGGGAGTCGCAGCCAGCGACCCAAGGGAATCCACTGGGATTCCCGGGGTGCGTGGGCAGAGGGCCTCTCTGCGGGAGCCCCAGCCGTTAGTGAAGAGGGCGCGGCCTCCGAGCTCTGAGCCGGAGCCGCGGGCCGTTCCCTGACCAGTGCGGGGCAGGAAGGGCTCTGCCGGGAAATGCAGGTCTGAAACGCGGGCGGAACCCCAGGCCAGTTCTGGGGAAGGGCCCGCTCCCAGCACTGGGCACCTTGTGCGGTCTGGGTATTTTCTTTGGTTTTACTAACCCCTTAAGTGCCTCTCTGAGGCTTCACGGTTAGGGGCTCAGCAGAGAAATCTGTGTTTCAATTTCATTTTTTCCTTCTTACTGCTTTTTTGTTCTTTTTTGAGCCCCGGCCCCATAGTTGTCCATTGTGATGACTTTTCCCGCCATCCAACGCATGGGTGGGGATGTTCTCAGGGTAATGCCCAAGAAGGAAATTGTGTGTAGTCAAAAGTATCGTTGAATAAGACTTAAGTTGCAGCACACAAGGCATTATGATATAACCCTGAACAATAATTCTTTGGCAAGCTAAAATTAAATAACTGCTGAAACAGACTCTGGGAGAACAACTATATATTGCATCTTTATGCGCATTCAAACTGCTTTGCTGTTAAGACAGAATTTTGAATTCAAAATATCTGGGGTGGAGTCTGAGAAGTTTAAGATGCTGCTGCTGGGAACCACAGCTTTAAGACACCCATCAAATTCCCCCCAGGTGCCTGGGTGGGGGAGGAATTCTAAAGCATTTCTATTTGGCTGCAAGGCTTACTTTCTTCTCTTTTAATATTGAGCTTCAAAGACAAGTTAATACACATTTGTGGCTGTCGACACATGTGAAAGCCTATAGCACTGGGCCTGGTATTTAATAGGTGTTCAATAAATGTTTACTGGACTTGAATATAGAGCTTGCTTGATCAGACCAGCGTGGAATTTCCAGCGTTTCATGAATATCTTATTTTCAGAGATTACCCCATTTGTTCAGCATTCAGCAAATATTTTCTTGCACCCACTTTGTGCGAGGCACTGTGCTCAGCAGGAACTGCGAATATCGAGGTGATATAGATGTGGTCCCAGTATGAACATAAAACTACAATAGGATCTGCTAAGTTCTAAGGTGGAATTAAGAAACACAGGGCAGCTGGGTGGGGGGTGGAGGGTGCTGAGGACTGGCTTCACAATATCAAGCTGGTGACTATTGCAGGCCGTTGAACTCAACCTGGAACCCCTGGAGCCCCCTCTGCAGGTGGCAGGTGTATGCAGCGAGAAGCAGGCTGACCCTGAATCCCCTCAGGCTACCCGAGGCTCATTGGGGTCCTGCTCACCTGCAGTAGGGTCAACCGGTGGGCACTGGCCTGTCACTTCTGCTCTCTGGTGCTCTGCCTGAGATCCCAGCAACCATCAGTTCAGCTGTGATCAGAGTCTGAATTATCCAAGAAACCACAGGCAGCAAATCTCAGCCCAGGAGGCAGGCACTTCTCTCGGCTCTGGACTTCTCTTGGCTTCCAGACCATACTTTCTACTCTTTCCTGCTGGTCTCTCTTTATTTGGGGGGCCCTCCTTCCCTATGCCCCCCAAGGTTTCTCTATATCAGCCACACTCCTTTTATTTTTCACGTTTGAATATATCACACCGGATTTTGTTTGAAAGGGCACGTGCTGGTCTCTTATACCTACAGGAGGTCAGTGAGGGGGCTGGGGCTGGGGTGGGGATGCTCTCTGAACAAAACCACAGGTACAGCCCAAGAAGGGTTAAGAGCTTGGTCTTCAAATAGCAGCCGCACCACTGGCATTGAAATGTTGGCTCAGCCACAGCTCATCCCTCTGACTTGGGGCAAGTTACTTAACTCTCTCGGAGTCCAGTTTCAAGTATGCATAATGGGTATTATAATAATAGGGCCTTCCGTATAGGATTGTTGTGAGACTAAGATAATGTATGTTTAAAAGTCTCTTAGTTCTGTGCCTGGCCTATATATAGTAAGCATTCAATGGAAGTCCGTATCAATATTACTACTGTTATCATTACTGATTGTTACTAAGCAGCATCCTGTGGACTGTGAGTTCTCACTGGAAGGCAGCTTGGTGCTGGGAAGCATTTGAAGCTTGTTTATCACCTAATTGACACGCTCTCCTCAGCTCCTGCACTGCCCCAGGCAGATGCTCCCCTCTGTGAGCCGGCCCCGGGATAAGTGGGAAGGGAAGGTTGTACTTGGATGGGTCATCTCCATCCTTCCATGGGGGTGCTCCGGGCTTGCCCATCGATTTCCTCCTGATCGTGGGTCGTGTGGGCTCCCTGGGCACACTCAGGCTGAGGTTGCCCTCTAGATCAGTATTTTTTCTTCCCTCCCTCCCTTCCTCCCTCCCTTCCTAAATTTCATTTATTTATTTGAGAGAGGGGAAGGAAAGGAGAAAGAGAAGGAGAAGAACATCGATGTGTGAGAGAGAGAGAGAGGGACATCGATCAGCTGCCCTTCGCACATACCCCAACTGGAGACCGAACCCACAATCCAGATGTGTGCCCTGACTGGGAATTGAACCAGCGATCTTTCACTTGCGGGATGAGGCCCCACCAACTGAGCCACACTGGTCAGGGCAGATAAGTATTTCTTAAGGCCCACTCTTTACTTTGCTCCATGTCATTGAGTCCTCTGAGGCTGGGATCACTCCCATTTTACAGGGAGAAAACAGAGGTTGAGAGCTTTTCCCAAGGTCTATGTGAAAATCTCAGATATCAGGGAGTTTGGGTCCAAAGCTTGAGCATGTTCCCACTGCACTACTCTACCCTTACACTATGGGCCAGCTTCATGGGTGGGGGGCCTTCGATGCTTAGAAGGACCCCAAGCTCAGTTTAATGCTCTGCTGTCACCATCTTCAAAGTCTTAATAAATTTGAACAAAGGCCCCCACATTTTCATGTTGCACTGGGCCCTGCAAATTACGTTGCTGGAGTCGCCTCCCCTCTTTTGTAGTGAGGATGTCTTCCATGCAGAAAAGCAAAGTGTGGTACAGAGGGAGGAGATGACTGGCACAAGGTCATGTAGCAAGTTGGTGGCAGAACTAGAACAGGCCTCCCTCCTGCCTACCTGTCCGGAAGAATTCTCTGGAAGCGCTCCTGTGTCCCCCTGTGCCCTAGAAGGGGGAAGTTTTGGGAGGAGTCACTGGCCAGGGTTGGGGGAGGGTGTGTTAGAAAGCATTTAAAAGACCTGATTCCCTGCTTCCCACTCTGGGACCCATCAGGACTGACATGTTACTGTTTGGATGGGTGCGCAGGAATGCTCAGACCTCTGGGGCCTGTGCTCTGTAAAGAATCCTGTTCGCAGCAGGCATTTCTGTATGACTGTGTGTCCTTGTGTGTGCCTGTGTGTGCATGTTGTGGGGATGGCAGGAAACAGATTGAGTATGGAGGAAAAATCATCCAGTTTTAGCTGCTTTCATTCACTTTTTCAATCCACAGATAGCTCAGATTTGGGGGAACACAGCCCCAGAAATACAAACATCCTTAGGGTGCTTACCGTCTAGGAGGCAAGACATACAACATAACAAATAACCACACAAATAAATACATGGATTTGTTACCTACTGCCTAGTTCTTTTTTTTCCACTGAGTAACTCACAGTTAGAAATAATGGGGTTAATGGTGTGTCCTTTGGTAAGATGGATGGGAAGCCCGCACACCCCAGCTGACACTGCGGCAGGCCATGGCGTTTTTGGAGGCATTCAGATGGTGGCTGGGGATGAGACTGATCTTGGTGCTCCAGGTCACCCACCTGGGGGTGCCTGGAATTCCCCTGGGGGTCTTTCTCTAGGATTAAGCTTTATTCTTTTTCTGAGACCCTGTTTAAAATTCAAATCCCTTGAGGTGGCAGGTGGATTCACTGAATTCATAACATGGCAGTGCTGTGTCATGAGACAGGGCTGCCCAAGGGCTCTGGACCCCAAAAGATGCCCTGATGGGTACCACAAGGGGATCCAGAAGGCCACAAGGCAATCTCCATCACTCTCTGCTGCTGACTCAGCCCAGCTCTGCCTGCAGAAAGGGGAACCAAAGGGAGGTAGGGGGCAGAGAATGAGGCCTACTCACACCCAAACCCACAGCCCCACAGCCTCACTCTGCCGGCTGAAAAAGCTGGAAACTCCAGGCCCACCGTACCTGCGTGCCCTGCTGCATCGGATCTCCCCCTCCCTCACTGCTCCTGTTAGAACAGTCATGTTTTCCTCAATGACAGCTCTGTGGTTGCCCACAGGACTTGACAAGAACCTTTAAGGTCCTTGAAATTTGGCACTCTCTTTGGGGGCAGGGCAGGGCAGTGGGGGAGGAAGAATGTGGAACCCAGCAATCCCAGCGAGGCCCTTGAGTGAGGCAGGGCAAGTTCTCCCTGGAGCACTGTCCCGGGCGTGGCCTGGCTGCCCGGCTGGTCCCCCCATGCAAGAATCTGCATGCTTCCTCCCTTCCTTGCTTTCTTCCTCTTGGTCCCTCCCTCGCAAACCTACCTGGAGGCAGGTAATAAAGCAGGAGGAGGGAGATGGATGGATGGGGAGGGCGGAGAGCCACGTGGTGCCATAAGGCCCAGCTAAAGAGGGCCCGTCCTGGAGTGCCCAGCCTGCAAGAGCCAAGGCTCGGGACGGGAGGACTGTCAGCCTTGTTGTGAGCAGCAAGGCCTGGAGAAGGTCATGCACCGAGGTGTGCCAGGACCAGGCCTCAGGGGCCTGAAGGGGGCCGAGGGCTCTGCCAAGGATTTGGGGGACTCCTGTCTGGAGGCCGGGAAGGATTTTGGGGTGCTGAGGGAGAACGGCGTCCCCCGCGGCCTGGGCGAGGCAGAGGAGGTGCCGAGCGGCAGAAAGCGCGCGCGGCCAGTGCGATCCAAAGCGCGGCGCGTGGCGGCGAACGTGCGGGAGCGCAAGCGCATCTTGGACTACAACGAGGCGTTCAACGCGCTGCGCCGGGCGCTGCGGCACGACCTGGGAGGCAAGAGGCTTTCCAAGATCGCCACCCTGCGCAGGGCCATCCACCGCATCACGGCGCTCTCCCTGGTCCTGCGCGCCAGCCCCGCGCCCCGCTGGCCCTGCGGGCACCTGGAGTGCCGCGGCCAGGCCGAGCGTGCCGCGGACCCCGGAGACGCGGGTTCCAGCTCGGTGCCGCCCGCCGGGCTGTTGGCACCGCGCTGTGCCTCCTGCTCCCCGCACACGCCCCTGGGACGACCGATGACCGAGGCGCAGGGTTTGGCCCAGGCCTCCGCTGGGAGCTGGCGCCGGTGTCCGGGGGCGCCCTTGGCCTGGCCGCTGGGCCACCCGCGGGCGGACCCCGGGCTGAGCTACCAGCCCTCCTGACCTGCCCCCTGAGCGCATGGCTGGGGGAGGGAGGAGCCAATGGCAGGATGACTACAGGAAGACTGCAAAACAAAAAACAAAACAAACAAAAAACTCACCCGGACTTGGCAAAACTGACTGGCCTGAGGCCTCCTTGCCGGTGGGAAGGAACTCTGAAGCCTAGGGCTGCACACCCCACCTCCGCAATCTCAGCCGTGAGTGGCGACTCTGAGACACTGCTGGACTCTTACGTTTGGACTCGATGAACTCTTCTCCAAAAGTGACTTTTGTATTCCCGTGCCTCTGAGTCCCATTGTGTCTCGCTGCTTTTTAGGAGAATGGGGGCTTTTGGTCCGAGGGACGTGTATGTGGGAGTGTGGGTGGCACCAGGGGTGGTCTGATGGGACAGTGTCGGGTCCCCTGCCCCTGCTTGTGCTGATGCCCCAAGTCTGTGATCTGGGAGAGGCGATCAGAAGCAGCCAAATAAAAAGGAAGCTATCATCTCTGTCTGCTACCAGCGCTCCAGGACTGGGCCTGTGGCCCAGGGTGGCTGGAAGGCCTGAGTGACTTGAGGTCTGGGGGCTACCCTGAAATATTGGGCCCTGGCCTGAAGGCCCAGGTAGGTACGTGGGGGCACTGAGTCATGGCAAGTCTCCAGGGGTGGCTGAGCACTGTGAGGGGCACTGTGGGGAAGGACAATATTGGGAGAGGGCAAACAAGGCCTGGAACACTAAGCATGTGGTCAGCCCTGTCTCTGGACCCCGCATATCTGCCAGCCTCAGTGAGGACAGCAGTGACAACAGTCTGGGCCAGTCCCAGAGAAGGAAGCCGCAGGTAGGGCTGAGGATTGGGGGTCAGTGAGTCCTGTCTGTACCCCAAGTGATGAGATGGAGTTCCCAGTGAATCAGTGCAGCCAGGGCCACGGTGATGAGGGGTGGCCTTACAACCCGGGAAAGATTAGGGGGGAAGAGGTTAAGGGAAGTGACCCCTTTCTCCCCAGAGACATCTAGAGAGCTGCTCTCACCTGAAATGAGCGCTCCTGCCCTCCTGTCTGACCTCACTGGGGCTGGCCCGGCTAGTTGCGCAGGTACTGCTTGCTCAGGGAGGACCCACATGTGCCAGGAGAGGGCCGAGAGATTTCGGGTCTCCTCGGAGAGCGGGGCTCTTGCCAGCTGGGGAGGACAGTTACACAGCTTGGAATGGGGAGCCCAGCAAGAGCTGGGGAGATGCCCTTCGCCCCGGAGGAGAGACGGTTCCCCAGAAGAGTTCAAGGGTGGCACCCTGTCTGTCCTCAGCTCACAGACTCCTAATTTCACATGGAGAGTGGCCGTGGCTCAGATCACAGGAAGGCTTTGACTCTGGGCCCATGAGGGTCATGGGGTCCTGCTAGGAGCAAGATGTGGCCCAGGCCTGCTCACTGAGCCTTCCCTGTCATGGAGAGGCAGCGCCACAGTCTGAGAGCGCACAGAAGGAAGACAGGTGAGCCTGGAATCCAAGCTCTGCTCGCCCACGTACTGCACGTGTGACCTGTTACATCACTTAACTTCTCTAAACCTCTAGGTGCGCACCTCGCTCCCAGGTGATTCTACCTTGGGGCAGCTGTGAGAATGAACATTTCTTCAAAACAGTTTCTGGCAATTAGGAGGTGTTCCATACATTGTTGCTGTACTCTTATGACAGACCAGCTTGGGCAATGCTTCCACCTTGCCTCAGCCTGAGGTTTTTATTCTCTATTAATATGATAATATGACCAGCAAGTCCTGCTTTCCTAAATTCCAGGATAGAAAGAGCTCAGGGTTCTCTTGTCCAGCTGCGCTTTCAGCACCAGAGTGGCGAGGATGCCCCCTGCAGGTGGAAGGGCGAGTGTACAGCAGAAGTGGGAGGTCAGCGGGGGTGGGGGCGGGGGGGCTGTGAAAGGACCAGTTGACCCTTGAAAAATGGGGGAGGGTTAAGGGTGCAGACCAAACGCATAATCAAAAGTCTGCCTGTAACTTAAACCAGCCTTCCACATGTGTAGATTCCCAACTGCAGGTTCAAAACACAGCTGAAGTTCGAACACCGCAGGTTTGAACTGTGTCGGTCTGCTTAACCACAAAGTTGAAAAAATCCATGTATATGAGAAGGTGCACAGTTTAAACCCAACCCAGTTTTTCAAGGGCATTTCTCAGTCTTCTCACTTACCAGCTGAGTAATCTTGGCAAATTGCCTCATGATGTTGAGCCTTGATGTTCCCATCTGTGTAATGGATTTACATAATAAGTACATCTTAAGCTGTTGTGCAGACTAAATGGGATAATGCATCCAAAGCACTTAGCATAGTGCCTGGCCCAGGCAAGCACTCACTGACTGGAAGCTATTAAGATATATTCTATTCACAAGGTTGTTATAAGCAGAGAATGCATAGGAAAGTGTCTTATAAAGTCTACAATATATTAGTTACTATCACTTTATCAGGGCTATGTGTTTGAGTGCACACACCTGTATATTTGCCTGCTGATATATATTTGCCTAACATTCTGAGGGTTTTTGACCTGTACACATTGTGTTCCTGCTTATAGAGATGCGTGCATGTGTATTTGTGTGCATATGTGTATGTATTGATCTAACAGGTACCCCCTGGTACTTTAGGGGATCCTAGGCCAGAATACCCTTTAATTGTGTGTTTTCCAGGCTTTTTGGAACTCTCATTTGATTTTTTTAATCCTTTCCCAAGACCATCTCCATTTTCCCAGATAACTTATTTGCTGTGGAGAGAAGATAAAGCTGAAACGGTTAAAGAAATGGAAGTTATCAACCAACATGGGTTTGTCCAAATATGGAGAAAAACAGTACAAGGAGAGGTATTAATTGAATATAAAATAGAAAGCACTGGAAAGAGAAAACATATGTAATACAGAGCCTCTACAGTTTTGGCCGAAAGATATGAAGGACTGATGTGCATAAAGACAGAAATTGTGTATCTATAAAGTTAGTACCAACAACCCACTCAAATAGCATTTAGAGGGGAGAGCTAACTTTTAAAGGGCGGAGAGTAATAAAAACTTTAGCACTTACACCTCGGTCAGGTGGCTTAGTTGGTCGGAGCATCGTTCCATCCACCAAAAGGTTGTGGGTTTTATTCCTAGTCAGGGCACGTACCTGCGTTGCAGGCTGGATGCCCGGTCAGGTGCATTCAGAAGGCAACCAACGGATGTTTCTCTCTCACATCGATGTTTTTCTCTCCCTCCCTCCCCCTTTTCCTCTCTCTGTAAAATCAATAAACATATCCTCGGGTGAGAATTAAAAAAAAATTATAGCACTTTCAGCAAGTTTACAGCTCACAAATGGCTCTCGTACACTCAGTCTCACGGCTTCTCTTGGAATCCTGTGCCTTCCACTCGCTGCCTCCATCCCAGGGAACGGGGCCTCACCTCCCCAGCAATGAACGGAACATGCCAGCAAAAGTCAATAACAATGATAAAACCCAGTGTCATCAGGCATATGGAGGAAAGGGCACCTTTACGGATTTCTGGTTGTACTGCGTATCTGTTCCCCCTTTTTTTTTCTTTTTGGTAAAAAACAACTCGGCAAAATAAAAAAGACTGCAAAGGGATAATCCAAAAGGAAAATAAATCTCAAAAAGGCAGTCCTAGCAGCACTGTACATAATAGTGAAAGATTTGAAGCCACACAATCAGAGAGGCCTGGCAAAGCGCGCTCTGGTATTGCCCCAGGAAGAAAATCGCGGTGAGTTAGGGAAGCAGGGCGTAAAGTGCTCTGTGCCCTCTGGTTGTAACTGGAGACAAACATGTAGGTGCATGAACAAACCTTGAGAGATTTTGTAGGGATGTAAACAGGAATAATATCCATTAGGTTTTTTGTAATTGTTTTTTCAAAGGTAAAAGATTTGTCTCCTTAGGGCACCTTCCAAAGAGCAATAGGGAAATGTCTTGAGCAAGGACAAGAAGGACAAAGGATCTCAAGTATATTCCTTTGGAGGGACCCCACCTTACAGATGTGAAACCAGGGTGCTTGTGCTGGAAGCAAGATCACACGGAGTTTTCGTCACACTAGGCCTGTGCGTGTGCACAGATGCTGGGAGGCCGCTGCTGCCCCCAGCGCAGGGTGAGCCGGGCCCAGGAAGTCCTCGGCTGGAAGAGGGAGTTGCGTAATCATCCCACCCTGTCAGCCCCATGGGTCTCCTGACGCCCAGTGAGCCAGTGGGAGCAAGAAAGGGCTGCATTGCCTCTTCCCCATTGATTGGGCTCCAGCTTCCCTACCTTTCTGAGCTGTGGCCCCCTGTCCACCCCACGGCCCCAAGGGACACCCTCCAGCTTGCAGGCCCTCTCTCTACTCGCTATTTACATCTCGGCATCCCTGGTGCTCAGGGGAGCTGAGGTTGGGGGCAGGCAGGGGTGGGATGAGTGTGGGTGTAAACTCACCTTGGGGGCTTGGTTGGAGTCGTCATCCTCCTCCAGTTCACCTTGCTGCCCTTGACTATGCGGCAGGCGCTGGGCCGGTGGGCTGGGTGTACGCCTGCCCCTGCATGACCTCAGCCCAGCGGGAAAGGGGGACAGAAAAGGGAATGACTATCTTCAGCGCCCTGTGCCCATACTAGGAAGCAGCCAGCTGCAGACCAGGAGGGCCACCATCTGTCCGGCTGGACAGGGGCTCACAGCCCAGACCCCCGAGGCAGGTAGGCCAGGTGAAGGTGGAGTTGGAGGAGCTCAACACTCTCTCTCCTAAAGGCTACAGCTGACCCTGCAGCTTTGCAGAAAATGAACCCGCGGTCCCCAGATCCTCATGTTAAAAGTCTAAAATGCCAATTTTTTTGTGAAATAGATGAAACAACAACAACAACAACAAATAAATAAATAACTTGCTGAGTCAATATCGTGTGAGCCAAACCCACTTTATGTAATGAATATGGCCCATGGGCCTCCACTTAAGACTTCATTTGGGGGTTGAAGGAGTGGGAGGCTGGGGCAGGACCGGGCTGCCGCAGGAGCCGCTGGCTGGGTGGGCTCAGCAGCTCCCTCGCCCTGCCTCTCCCACCTCCCACCTTGCCCTCGACCTGGTTGCCCCTGCACCCGTGGTCGTTCCCCTCAGCACCACCAGGCCACTAGATGGCACCATAAGCCTAGCATCTCAGAGAAAGAACACACCTAAGTCCCCAAGTCCTGAATGCCAGCCCACCCAGCAACATCACAGCCAAGGGCCACCCTGGGGACTTCTTGGCCTTTTCTTTTCCCTTTGAGTTTTTATTAAACTCACAGTTTAATAAAAAGTCCCCTTTATGTCAGGTTGGTTCTGTCCTCGAGGCCAGCATTGCCCAATAGAAATATAATGCAAGCCACCGTTTTAATTTTTTAGTAGGCACGTTAAAAAAAAGGAAAAAGACACAGTTGACCTTATGTTAATAATGTTTTATTTAGCTCAGTATATCCAAATATGACCATTTCAAAACAATGTACAAAATATTAATGAAATATTTTACATTCTTCTTTTTTTTGTACTGTTTGAAATGTGTTTTATATCACAGCACATGTCAGTTGGGACCGCCCACGTTCCAAGTGCTGAATAGCCATTTGTCTAGAGGGCGCAGAATTAGGCTGGGCGGCTGCAGGCCCGGTGGGAGACCTGAGTTCTGCCACCTGAGGGGTCACTACCAGGCTGTAACATGGAACTCTGTCCAGGCTGGATGCTGACTTAGAGTCTAGGGGTCTCAGGGACCCAACGTGCCACTCTCTGCAGGAAGTCTCACGTTTAAAAAGGTGTTGGCACATTTCTGGAAGTTCCTGGGCAGAGGAGCTCAGCTCAGCACCCCCCTCCATTCCAGCCTGCACCCCCCCGTGGGTGAGAGCCTCCCCAAGGACCTAGGTGAGGAGGAAGCTCCCCTTGAGCCCCCGCAGCCCATGCAGGGGGGAACCCCAATCTCACTGCCCTGGGGGTCTGCACTTTGCAAATGACAGTGGATTTCCTTTCCTGAGCAACAGTTCTTAATTTAATGTAGTCATATTTATCAAACCTGAACGTTTGCCCCAAACTATTTCTGAAAGTGATTTCCCTCCAGGAGTCCTTTCAGCTCCCCTAGCATGTGGCTCCTCGCCAGTCTCCTCGTGTCCCTCTGTGGCCGGGTCCTCACTGTCCCCACCCAATCACACTCCCTCCTGCACCTGTGCCGCCCCTGCTGGAAGCAGCACTTAGAAGCCAGCTAGACCCACAACCCAAAGCCATTTCCTTCTGCTAAAAGTTTGTTTTGCTTCATACTAGCCCCCAAACCAGACCTGACCAAGAGACTGGCATCTGGTGAGGATAGTTTGAGATGAGCGTCTCTTTCCAGGTCAAGGCTTTGGTTCTCTGATCTGTGACAGCAAAGGGTTGAACTGCCATGCCTCTGAGGCCCCTTCCATCTCTAACTTCCCACCTCCTATCATGCAGAACCCCAGGGCTAGAAACTCTTAGCTGCACCCTCCTCCAAACCACACACGCGCGCGCACACACACACACACACACAGATGCACACCCCGGTGGTTCCAGGTCACTCTTATAAAGGGAAGGAGAAATTGGGGACATAGAAAGAGATGCAGAGAATAGAGAAGGAGGCAGAAACAGAGGGAGGAGACATGGGAGAACAAAGACACCGGGACTCAGAGGGGACAGGCCGCTGGACCAAGGCCCTTCAGAGTCAGCCTGTGACCCCAGGGGCCCCTATTAGGAGGAGATTTGCATACTCTTTAGCAGCACAGAAAAGCTCTGATGGGCATGAGATGGAGCCTACACTCCCTGCAATACATCTCTGCCCCTCACCTCGGGGAACTGCTCAGAAACGCATGCAGAGGGCCCTGCGGGTCCAGGCGAGACCCTGCAGGGGCCTCATTGGTGCGCAATCCCCTCTTCACTCCTGGAGCCCGGCCTAGATGCCTCTGGGAGTTGGAGGCCATGGTTGGGGTTCAGGGCCCAGTGTTGGGGTTCAGGGCCTACAGTTAGGAGGAAGCAGCAGCCTACTCCTATGGAAGGAAAGCAGAGGGCTCAGCTTCCTGGGACAGTTGAGCCCCCTTGAGACCCACTTTATCTTTTTTCCTATCCAGAGCTCCTAGCCCTGCAGAGCAGGGCCTGTGGCTGCAACAGAAAGCGGAGGCCACTCTGAGTCCCTCTGGGTAGGGCTGGGCTGGGCTGGGCTGGGCAGAGCGGGCAGGGCTGGGGCAGAGGCAGAACGCTGCTGGACCATTCTCTGGGGAGAGGGGAAGTGAAGAGGGAAAGCATCTCTGAGGAGGGCAGAAAGGGAGGGAGGCCTTGAGGCGTGTACACACACACACACTCTCTCTCTCTCTCTCTCTCTCTTTCTCTCTTGCGCGCGCGCGCGCGCGTGCATGTACACACACAGCCACCCTGACTTAGCCTAAGCCTCAGTCTGGAGAGGAGCATTTTCTCTCTGCTCCTGAAGCTGCTTTCTGTTGCTTCCCCGCCCATCTGTGCTGTCAGCAGCACCAGCAAAGTTGACCTCGAACTTGAACGGAACTGAAGTCTCCAGCTCCCAGGAGCTCTGCCAGGCAGCAGGCGGGACCCAGACTCTGAACTCTGTTGGCCTGGAGAAGCCGACCCTCCCAACCCACAGCCGGCCTTTGCTTCCTGGTGAAACTTCTGCCTCTGACCTGTAGGTCCCCAGTCTGGGCTGAGGAATGGTGCGCTGAGGTCCTTCTGGAACCCCCTTATCACAGCCTGGAACTGAAGCAGCCCAAGGCCCAAGCCAACATGGCCAACCCCGTGCAGCCTCAGTTTCCCCCGGCACAGGAGCCGGCCACTGCCTCACTCCCAGACCTGCCCGAGATGGAGATGCTTCTCACCAAGGTGGGGGACAAGGATGACAAGTCCCCGAAGCTGTCCAAGTCCCTGTCAGGGGCTCTGGACCTGGAGCAGAACGGCCATGGCCTGCCCTTTAAGGTGGCACCTGGGGGGCACCGGGCGGCTTCGCTCCCCCAGTCACCCTCCCACGCCAGCTCCAGGCGGGCATCCTCCATTGCCACCACCTCCTGTGCCCAGGACCAAGAAGTCCCCAGAGATTACCTCATCCTGGCCATTGCCTCCTGCTTCTGCCCCGTCTGGCCCCTCAACCTCATCCCCCTCATCTTTTCTATCATGGTAAGTGCTGCTCTCTGCTCCTGGCGGGGGCTGGGCCCAGGAGCGGCGGGCACACACCCTGGCGTGGACGGAGGGATAAGGGAGCTGGGGGCCAGGGGCTTGGGCAGACTCCCTTCCTCAGCTGCCCTATGCGCCCCCTTGGGGAAGGGCCCGGGGTTCAGGAGAGCGTCTGTTTGCTCTCCTCTCTCATCTCTGCTCCTGGGTCGCAGCTTGACTTTGGCCACAGCCCTATTGGGGAGGGCCCCCCCTACTCCCCGAGGGAGCCCCCTGGGGCTCAATTCCAGACTACAGAAAGACTGCCACGTTGGGGGGCTTGTCTCTGTGGTGGGGTGCGAGAGGGTGGTCCCGAGGAGTCCCTCCTGAGCAGGGCTGTATTATCCGCAGAGGTTGCGGCCGGCAGGGAGCCCCAGGGCCCGCGGTCTCAGGAGGGGAGCCAGCCCGGCACAGCCTCCCCTGCACCTTGCCCTGGGCCACCTGGGTGTTCTGAGACCCTTCACCATCTCTGGTTTCCAAGGGCCAGAGGTGGCTTCCCTGCCATGCACTGGGAGCCAGGCACCCAGCTCCCCAGGCTGCTCCTCTGGGGACGGTACTCGCTGGGGCCCTCTGGGCCTTGGTGGCTGCACTGGTTTCAGCATCTGCCCTCAGGAGAGGGGAGGTCCGGGCCTCGGGGGAAAAACATGTCAGAGGGCACGGCTAGGCTTGCCAAGGGGGGCACGTGGGCTTGTCTCTGCTTCTCACACATTTGTGCTGTAGGGTTTTGAGTACATTGTCACAGATTGTCCCCAAACCAAGCCCTTTGCTACTTACAGAGGATCCATAGAAAATGTCAGCAGATGTGACGTTTGAGGTCTAGAAAAAAGAGAGAGAGAGAAAGAGGGGGCAGGCAGTGACTTCCAGAATGAAGTTAGGAGCTGGGGGCAGGGAACAGCTAGTCCCAGGTTGGTCAAGTGCGGAGGCCTGGGTGAGGAGAGACCATCGGCTTCCCTCTGCCGTGATGCCACTGCCGAGTCATCTATCACCAAGCCCCTTGGAGCACTCTTGCTACTCCCAGCTGTCCTCGTAGTAAGTCCCTGTTTTCTCTCACTTCCCTGTCTACCTCGCTGATGCCCAGTCCCCTGCCGGGGAAGCCTTCCCCAGCCCCCACCAAACCCGGCACCGCCTACCGGGATGCCAGGGCACACTGGCAGCGTTCCTAAGTCAGAGGGGCTTGGCTTGGGCACGAGAGCCAGGGCTGGGCAGGGCCCAGGGTGAGGTCTTTGAGGAGCGCCCCGTGTGCCTGCTGCACTTCGGGACGGCTGGGGCGGGGCCAAGCCCCAGGTGCAGCCCGTGTTGGGGGCGGGGCCCACCACTTGGTTACCGAGAGAAGCCCAGCGGGGGAGTCTGGCTTTGGGGAGGAAAACCGCACAAGGGCCCGGGAGAGCACAGTTGCTAGAATCTGTCCCCTGGTGGGGGCGGGGGCGGGGGGGGGAGCAGGGTACAGGCTGGGTAGAGCGGCCTTTGTCAAAGGAAACCTGAGCCCAAGACTGTGAAACCAGAGAGCCCACATTCACGTTTCTACGTCCTCCTCAAGTTCTCGAGTCAGGTGTGATCACCACTGGGCCAGCGGCAGGGAATAGGGCGCTAAACCAGACATCACTGCCCATTCCCGGGAGCCTCCAGTCCAGTGGGGAGACACTTGTAAACAGATCCTTACAACACATCGCAAGAAGTAGTCATGCTAGACAAAACCACAAGGTATTGTATGACCTCTGGCCAGCGACTCAGACCTCTCTTCTTCTCAGTATTCCCAACTATAAAATGGGTCGTCACCATAACACCTATGCTATGGAGCCGTGTGAGGAGGGTGAAGCGAGATGAGCCACACAAAGTGCTTAAGAACAACACCCAGCACACAGTTTAGCTGTTACATAGCAACAGCGACGCTGTGGCAGTTGCTGATCTCCCTGGTGAGGGCCGGAAACCGTCACAGGTTTCTTGTGGCTATTTTTTAGAGCTTTGAAATATAAGTCACATGGCATACAATTCACCGACCTAAAGTGCATGATTCAGTGATTTTTAGTATATTCATAGTTAAGTGCAACCATGACCACACTCAATTTTAGAACATTTTTCTCACCTCTGAAAGAAACTCTACCTTTTTTTCTATGACACCCCTACTCCTGCCACCTCTCCCTCAGTCCCTCCCTAACCTGAGCGACCCCTGATCTTTCTGTCTCTGTGGATTTGCCTCTCCTGGAGATTTTATATAAATGGAATCATACAGTATGGGGTCCCTCGGGGACTGGCTTCTTTCACCTGGCACAGCATTTTCAAGCTTCGTAGGGTTTGGAGCCAGAGAAGGGTGTGGGTGGCAACCCTCTCAAAGTGGTACCACAGATCTTTCATTCAGTCAGCCGTTCACTTGAATGGCAGGTTGCTTGTTCGGAGGGAACTATGTGGTCCAGGGTGATCAGGACTCCGTGAGCGAACGTGTCTCTATGAACCAGGCACCATGTCAGGCATTTGGAAAGCAGCTGGACGAGACGAGGTCTGGCTGGCGCGAGAAGGCTGAGGGAGTGCGGTGGTGGAGGGAGGCAGGCGAGGTCCTGCTCCAGGAATTTTACTTTTATCCTAGTGCACTTTGGACCTCTAAACAAATTTAGGCAGAGGTGGGATGCTGTCAGTTCCTATTTTAAAACCAATACCCAAGAGCATTGTGGGAAATGAACGAGAGCAGGCAGAAGGGGGATCAGGGAGACCCCGCAGGAGGCTCTTGAGAGCGATCGGGTAGGTGCGAAGGCCTGAACTAAGCAGCAGGCTCAGGAAGGAGGCCTTCGAGGAGGGAATTGCTAAGGAGGCAGGAGCAGTGATTGCTTTAGACTCCCGGATATTCAACCTGAGAACAGTGGGACTGTCTTAGAGAAAGCTCTGGGGCCTAGGACATTTAAGGCGTGAGCAGAGGGAAGTAGACAGAAAAGGCTTTTGAAAAGAAGATTCTGGGAGGTAGGAGGAAAACTGGAAAAGAGGGAGACACCCAGGAAGGCGCAAGTTTGAAGAAAGAGGGGGCCGTCAAATTCCGCAGAGAGCTCAGGTTCAGTAAGAATGGGAGTGTCCACTGGCGTGGCCAGTCAGGGACCCCTGGGGGCCCTGGTGGTGGAGAAGCTTAGGCAGACAGGGCTGATGAGGGGAGTTCCCTGAGGAGTGGAGAGGTGGGGCCCAGAGGAGGGACCGCCTTCCTGAGAGCCTGGAGGAGACGCCATGAGGGCAGCAGCAGACAGAAATACTCAAAGGAAAGGAAGTTAGTTCACGTTGCATGGGATCCACGTCACCAGGGACAGGGAGGGCGCGGTGGTTTGTTGAGAAATAAGGGCCTGATGGCAGGGGGTGGGGGGGTGAGAGGTGACTATGGACAGATGGGTCAATGGCCTGAGGGCTCTGCTGAGGCTGGAGACCATGGGTTTGAGTTGTTATCAGCCTGCCCGGTGGTATGGTTTTTGTCCAGCTGCAGACATAGAGTCACTGAAGTGACATTGGGCCCACCCAAACCTGGGGATGGCAGAATTGCCATGAGGGCAGGACCGGGTGGCACCCTGCTATAGCCAGGGTGGCTGAGATGCTGCGCCCAGGATTGGGCTGGACTGGGAGGGAAGGAGGCCAGGAAGGTGGCCATAGCCCTGGCAGAGAGGGAGGCTGGTCACAGGCTGGGGCTCGGAGGAATCAAAGGGCAGGTGCTCTGAGAGAGCGAGGGTGAGAGAGAGATGGGAGGAGGGGTTGGGATTTCAGAGAAGGAGCCAATGTAAGTGTGGAGGATAGTTGTGGAAATGGATTTCGAAAGGGAACTGTCAGGAGCAAGAGAGAAGGAACTTGAGGAAGCCCAGTAATGAGGGATAATATTACTAACACTCATCGTGTGCTCGCTAAGTGTTAGGCACTGGTCCAAATACTTTATATATATTATCTCATTTAAGTCAGACTATAATCCTGTGAGATCTAGGTATCGTTATTACTCTCAATGTACAGATGAGAAAACTGAAGTACAGGCGGGTGACATAACCTGCTGGTTAGTGATTGGGAGTCCAGGACCGGGTGACTGGAGCCCCAGCTCTTGCTCCTGCCCACCCCACAGCCTGCCTCCTCAGAGGGTGCCCACAGTTGTCTTCCCACTTCTGAGAGCCGGTCAAGTTCGTAACGTTCATAGGCAACTCCCATTTCCCAGAGAGGGCGGGGTCAGTAACGCCCCTAGGGCTGAAACACTTGGTCCCACCCAAACAGCAACGGGGCGAAGGAGGGCCACAGAGTGTGGAAAGGAGTCGGCCCCCTGGGCCGGTGTCTCTGGGTCCTGGGACAGACTTCAGAACGCTTCATCTGCGGCCCTTCCCCTGGTTACCAAGTGAAGGGTCAAGCCCTTGATCCGGGCTGGAAGGAGACCCACAGAGCTGACAGCTTTTCTACAGCTTACTGTCTGCAGGGCATGTCTTGATATGCAGCTCACAGAGTCTGGCTAATTGTTCCTGTTTAACAGACGAGGAGAGTGAGATGTACAGAACAGTATGTTGTCCACAGTTACACAACTGGGAAGAGGCACATCAGTTGGATGCAGAACCCAGTGTTCTTTCCATGGCCCCACGCGGCATCTCCTCTGGGGACAAGGATGGTGTGCCCCTCCCAGGGAAGCCAAACCTTGTACAAGGAGGCAGGAATTTCCCTTCCTTCTCTCTTCCCCCTCCCCCCACTGTTCTCCCAGCCCCCCTTCCCCCAACTCTGTCAGTGGGAGACAAATGGACCAGCAGCATCCTTCCCACTGTGGCTTCCAATCCATTACACAGCCTTTGACAGTGGCCTGCTGTCCAGGGCTGGTGGCTCAGGGGCTCTCCCTGAGGAGTTGTCCAGACTCAGCCGTGCTCAGAACTGTGGCCTCCCGTGAGCCTCCTGAGGTGGCCAAGCCAAGGCTGGCTTCATTCATTCTACTTTTGGGGCGGGCTGAGAATGGCCATGTTCCTCGGTGCTGGCAAGGGCTCCTG